GCATGACAGGAGGGCCGGGTCATGGCTTTGGCCTCATGGAGTTTGTGGGCCATTCTGGTAGTTTTCAAATGGTGCTGTCACCGGGTGATGTTGGGTTGGGAGGAGGCTCACAGCCGGGCAGTGCACCTCCACTTTTATCAGTTATCCATTGGGGAGTCTTCATCAGATCTTCTATTAAAGAAAAGAATAAGGTGATTCTTTTTTATAAACATTTTAAACCACACATCCGGACACTGTGAGAGGCCATGAAAGAAGGTATACCATGTATAGGAATCATCTAAACGGAGGAGAGGAAGGCAGGCAAAAGAGCAGAGAGAGAGAGAGAGAGAGACACACGGATGTAATTTAAACAGGGCGGGGCATTCCACCTGCCAATCAGCGAGATTATGCTTGGGAGACGCACGCAGGAGAGGAGAGAGGCATAAAATGTGTTATATTTCTGCCATTGGTCTCGGTTCCTGCACACGGAGGAAGCATCCCGCCCCACTGTGTGTGATTCTGGTGTTTCTAAAAGTGCTCTTTAAATATATATGTTACACAAACACCCTTTATCTGGTGCCCAACCAAAGAAACAGTAATGTGTTTTACTGCTGGAGGGAGAAACCGATGGTTTGGCTCATTCTGTGTTCGTTCTCAATATGGAGCCATGGCTAAGATTTTTCTTTTTTTCTTTTTTTTTTTTGTTTAGCTGAGCCATCCTGCCACCTGTTGGCAGCTCAGCGGCTGCTCAGCTCAGGCCAGGACTCGAACTGCTGTTGCTCAGAGTTCACACTGTTGAGCAAGCTCTTAACCAACTGAGCCACTCAGCCGGCCCTAAGATTTTTAAGAGCACCTCTGGTTTTGTGCGACTTTCACCTTGAGCCCTGTTCTAGACTCACCCCCAGGCGCATTGCACCACCCTTGAACTATTAAGTGCAGCATTGTGCTGTGTAGATGGTAAGACCTAAATATGCTCAGAAAAAGAAAAAAAAAAGACCTTGGGAACTAGATGAGGAGACAAAGGGGTGCTAAGTGGGAAAGGTGGATTTGAGTCTGGCCTTGAATTTGGATGCATGGCCGCAGAGGGGGATTTCAGCCACGGGGGCAGCAAGGCCAAGTTCCAGGGGCAGGATGCCTATGGGAGAAGATCTATGAGTGATGGGCCAGACCCACCATGTGACCTCCGTAATGACAGGATCCGTAAAGCTAGGATCGTGTCTCCCATAGCCTGGGACTCGGTCCACGGCTGGGACAGATGAGTCCAGGTGGCAGGAACTCCTGGGATGAGATAACATTGAACCACATCATAAAAAATCTGTTCTCCTCTCAATGTTTTGGAATCCTCCTGATGACGCCAAGGAGAAAGTCTCAGTTTGGTGCTTAGCCGTGATTAACGCCTTTCTAACACTGCTGATCTCCTTTTAACAAAAAGAGAGCAGGGCTCCAGCTAAGAGGTGCCTTCTGCAAGCAACCTCCTTGTACAATTTAATAATGATATGTGGTCTCCTAGTTACCTACTTAGGTAGGTGATCTATAGTTTCAAAGTAAACAAATGTGAGTACAAATGGAGGTTGATTTCTTTTTAGTCATAAGTCTGTATAGACTTTGGTGTCATACGAGTGGAGAGGGCAAACTGGATAAGAATGAACAACGGTGGTTATGATGTTAGAAGAAAGACCGGAACTAGAAATTGATGGAGCATTCTTAAAGGGAAGCAGTTCTGATGTTTTCTTCCTAGAGATTACCTGTTGCCAAAGAACTCGCTGGAAAACTGGCCCAAGTCAAGATTGTTTAAAAGTCCCATTAGAGAGCATTCTCCTTCCTTGAGTGAGCTGACATGGGGCCTCCTATCCTCCACCGTCCCTCAGACCAGTGGTCCCATGGAGGCAGGGCAAGGTCCCTCTCTTCCAACAGCCACTCCATGGCTCTGGGGACCTTGACACAGATGTAATCCCACCTTTAGCCTCATGCAATCATTGGCTTAGGCAACACCTTTTCCAATGTGTCCCCAACGTGCAAGACCTGCCCTGACACCAGGTGGCCCCCTATCTCCACCACAGGTCTGCCATCACCATATTTCCCCAGAGGATCGACAGCAAGCATGATTTCCGGGTCTGGAACTCCCAGCTCATCCGCTA